CTTAGTACAGGTTAAATATAGATGTAAAATAAGTTGTCAAAGATCTAAGCAGTAAGAGAAATGTAAGAAATTTAATATTGACAAGATTATGGAGAGTGATAAGAGAAAAACATTTCAAAATAAAATTAAAGAAATTAATGACAATAGAGTAAATAAAGAAGTAACGGTAGAAGGGATATGGGTAGATTTTAAAACCGCAATAATTACAGAAGCCGAGAGGACTCGGGGATATCAAGAGAAACAGGATAATAGAGAATGGTTTGACAAGGAATGTAGGGAGAGTATAAACCTGAAGAATAAGAAATATATGGAATATATGGAAAGACCAACAAGCGTAAGAAATGAGGCATATAAAGAAGCAAGAAGGAAAGCAGACAAGATTTGCAGGAAAAAGAAATGGGCCTTTCTAAATGAGCAATTACTGCAAATGGAAGAAGACTTCAAAAGTAACAAAACAAAAAATGCCTTTGGTCGAATCAAATATATGAAAGAAGGTTTCAAACCAAAAACAGAATTTATCCAAGACAAAAAAGGGCTTCTAATAAATAATAAAACAGAGATTATGAATACATGGAAAGAATATTTTGAACAATTATTAAATCAAAATCAGAATATGGAAGATAACGAGGACAATGATGAAGACAATACAGATGATGGAGAAGGGAAAGAGGAAGAGATAATAGAGCCTCCAACAAAGGAAGAAGTGGAAGAAACATTAAAGGAACAAAAACTAAATAAAGCACCAGGAGGAGATAACAGCAGNACAAGAGCAAGGAATGAGGCATATAAAGAAGCAAGAAGGAAAGCAGACAAGATTTGCAGGAAAAAGAAATGGGCCTTTCTAAATGAGCAATTACTGCAAATGGAAGAAGACTTCAAAAGTAACAAAACAAAAAATGCCTTTGGTCGAATCAAATATATGAAAGAAGGTTTCAAACCAAAAACAGAATTTATCCAAGACAAAAAAGGGCTTTTAATAAATAATAACACAGAGATTATGAATACATGGAAAGAATATTTTGAACAATTATTAAATCGAAATCAGAATATGGAAGTTAACGAGGACAATGAAGAAGAAAATACAGATGATGGAGAAGGGGAAGAGATAATAGAGCCTCCAACAAAGGAAGAAGTGGAAGAAGCATTAAAGGAACAAAAACTAAATAAAGCACCAGGAGGAGATAACAGCAGACCAGCAGAATTATTGAAGGCAGGAGAACAAGAAGGAATAATAGCACTCCACAGAATTATAAATAAAGTGTGGGAAGAAGAAAAGATACCAGAAGATTGGGGAAAGAGCATTATATGTCCCATATTTAAAAAAAGGAATAAATTAACATGTAGTAAGTATAGAGGTATATCATTACTACCAACAGCATATAAAATTTTAACAAGGATACTAAAAAAGAGACTGGATCAATATGTAGAAAAAATAATAGGGGAATATCAATCAGAATTTCGACTCAATAGGTCAACAATAGACAATTTATTCACCCTGAGACAAATAATGGAGAAATTGTGGGAATTTAATACAGATATTTACCTGTGCTTCATAGATTTTAAACAAGCATATGATACAATAATAAGGAAGAAATTAAGGATGATTANATACCAGCAGAATTATTGAAGGCAGGAGAACAAGAAGGAATAATAACAATGACAGAATTATAAATAAAGTGTGGGAAGAAGAAAAGATACCAGAAGATTGGGGAAAGAGCATTATATGTCCCATATTTAAAAAAAGGAATAAATTAACATGTAGTAAGTATAGAGGTATATCATTACTACCAACAGCATATAAAATTTTAACAAGGATACTAAAAAAGAGACTGGATCAATATGTAGAAAAAATAATAGGGGAATATCAATCAGAATTTCGACTCAATAGGTCAACAATAGACAATTTATTCACCCTGAGACAAATAATGGAGAAATTGTGGGAATTTAATACAGATATTTACCTGTGCTTCATAGATTTTAAACAAGCATATGATACAATAATAAGGAAGAAATTAAGGATGATTATGTCCACTTTTGGTATTCCAACAAAACTAAGTAGAATAATTAACTTAACCATGACAGAAACAATCAATCAAGTTAAAATCCAGAACCAGTTAAAAGAATGCTTTAAGACAAATCAAGGATTAAAACAGGGTGATAGTTTGGCACCATCACTATTTAACTTGGTATTGGAATATATAGTGAGGAAATGTAATGTAGGCACAAGGAACACAACAGCGTATAAACAAACGCATATAATGGCGTATGCGGATGATATTATTATAGTATCGAGATCCCCAGGAGCAATGAAGGAGACATATAAATGAATAAAAACCATAGCAAAAACAACTGGCTTAGAGGTGAATGTAAATAAAACTAAAATGCTGCTACAATCTAGAAGGAATGAAAGGCAAACTGGAGAAATTAACATGGAAGGGGACGGGATAGAAATAGCTGAAGACTTCATACATTTAGGATCGAAATTCCACAAAAATGGAGAGGAAAATCATGAAATAACAAGAAGAATAAAACTAGTGAATACTGCATATTTCTCGTTACTATCAGTTTTTAGATCAAAGGATATACACCAAGCGATTAAAACAAAAATACATAAATCAGTGATAAGACTGGTGCTTTATTATGGACGTGAGGGTTGGACGCTAAACAAGAAAGAGGAATCAGTCACCAATTCAATCAAGAGGAAAATCCTAAGACGACTTTATGGACCAATAAAAGAGAATGGGATATGGAGAATAAGATATAATAAAGAGTTATACAAATTATATAAGGAGCCAGAGATCTCAGTGATGATAAAGCTTAAAAGATTGCAATGGGCTGGGCATGTACAGAGAATGGATAAGGAGCATATCCCAAAGAAAATATTATGTAGTACAATAGGTGGTAGGAGATGTGCTGGGAAACGAAGAATTAGATGGATTGATGTGGTGGAAGAAGATGCGAAAAAGTTAATGGGTGTAAGGAACAGGAAGAGAGCAGTGCAGGATAGAGAGGAATGGAGGGGGTTGATAAGGGGGGCCAAGGCCCGACATCGGGCTGTGGTGCCATAGAAGAAGAATACAAGTGGACACTTGCTTATGTACTTGTTATGAGAGAAATATAAATTAATATTTGAATTCATACCTCCATGAGGAACACAAGACATTCCTGTAAACTCTTCCCATAAGCATATGATGCTGTTGACTTGAAGTTTAAAAACATACTTTCATTGCAATGTCATTAGTCATCTCAACAGTACTATGAAATGAACAGGAATACATACATTAGGTACAATAGCCAAGATAGCATAGTTGGTATAGCTACTGGCTATGGGCTGGATGATTGAGGGGTAGGAGTTTGAGTCCTGGTAGGATTAAGAATCTTCACTTCTCTAACCGTCTAGACCGTCTCTGAGGTCCACCCAACCTCCTATACAATGGGTACTGGGGGTAAAGCAGCCGGGGCGAGAAGCTGACCACTCACCCCTAACTAGTGCCAAGGCCAAGAAAATGTGGATCTATACATCCACTCCCTCATATGCCTTCATAGTGCATAGTGCTAAATTAGTTAAGCACAGGGACAACTTTACGTTTAACCTTCTATTCAAACTCCATCTGAAAATGTCTTTCTTCATCTTCACAATGTACAAAATGTACAGCAAGGTAAGTTTCAACATGTCTATCAAGGCTGTTACAAATTTCTGCACTGATGTGATTGACATCATTACTTCTTGGACAGAAAACGGTTTTATTAATGCAATTAAAAAGAGGCTCTTGGATGCTTAATTGATCAAACACGTTCATAACCTCTACTTTAATAGCAACAAGATTTCTGCCTAAATATGCATTCATCAAGTCACAGTTAATTGTACAAAGAACCTATACTTCACTCTTTATCAAAAATATTTTAATTTTCAGTCACATTCATGTTTTAAAGTACACAATGGCTATCTTTGGAATTAGCTATAATGTGACTGACATATCAATATCTTCAACAATCAATCAATCAATCAATCAATTTATTTGTTCCAAGAAATGCATTGATTCAATGAACTGTTCTGTATTTTTGTGTGTGTGTGTGTGTGTGAGGGGGGTGACATGTGTGTGTGTGATTTCTATTTACTTCAGCATATTATGTAAATGACCAGCATTATGTGCCTATTTAAGTCAAAAATGAATCGGTGTGAACTAAGAATCGAAGGACACCCTGTCAGTCGAGTCCCACATCACCTTCTGGAAAAGAGAAGCGCGGGTATGTGCTTAAGTTTTAAATGTAAATCTTACTCAGAGTCTTTTTTCTGATTCTCCGGAATTTCAGCTTCATACGACGGCATGTAGAATTGTGGTGCTCTCTTCCCGCCCACAATTGACAACCGCTCTTCAGGTGTAGATTGAAACCGCCGCTCATCAACTCGCCCATTCTGGTCCTCAGCTTTCACGTAAAGAACATATTCCATATCCAGTTGAAAGGGGTCTGTGCCACGAGTACGCACAACCCCTGAGCGCTCATCAACCTCAAATCGACCTCCCGCTGCAAACAATTACCATTTTATTGCCATTGGTGTTTCTAAATATCAAATAAGAACAGTCACATTTCATATTACATAATAAAAATCAGCTAGTTATGTTGTTCACAACTCCATAATGAGGAACATCATAATGTGCACTCAAATTACCAACTGTTATTATAATGATCAAATCAAAATAAATGAGATGGTTGAGGTATGTAGTGTAGAGATCAGAAGTGTATAGAAAATTTGGAAGGAAGAGTTTGCTTTGGAGACCTGTACATTGACTTAAGTTGTATATTATCTCACGTTTTCATGACGTCAACATGCAATTACATCTTTTCCTGAGGTCTGCTGTTTCATCAATGTGCAGTTAGTGGCTAATGTTTCAGAGACTGTCTTTATCTCCATCATCAGAAGTGATATTAAGAGATTTGTGTTGTAAAGAAACAGAGAATGAGAGAAGAGAAAGTCGGAGGGGGATAGTAAGAGACACTACATTTGGGAGGAGAGAAAGAAAACAGTTTTTTTCTCAGGTTTTGAAGGTTTCCAGGCAGTTCCCGCTAATCTTTCTAGCGCAGATACGTTGGTTGAGATGGTTGAGAGATGGTAAAGTTTTAGGAAGAGAAATGGTAAAGTTTTTTGAGCAGAGGAGAGAAGCTAACTGGGGCTTTACTGTGTATGATTAGAATTAATTTTGACATCAACGTCGGAAGGGCTGCAGTAGAGTGAAATTTTGATTTAACACTGAGAGGGCTGCATTTGAAACAAGAAGTGTAATGTTGAATTTGGGCACCAACTCAGCCTTTGCTCTGTGACCGAGGTAAACTGTCGAAAACCTCAATCGAGTTGGCCAATCACAGGACCTACCGATGCAAATCGACTTTTAGCCAGCAGTCCGGCATTAAATACACAAACTGTAACGCTAGTCCCTATATGGCAGTTGCTTTATTTGAAATGTCTTACAGAATTCTTTTTAAGTTCACATTTTGGGTGAGCAACAGACAATTTTACATAACATGTGCGAAGAGTATGCATGCCTATAGACGCACACATGCATATAAATAAATAAATAAACATACTGTAGCATGTAAACCCGTTGCTGGGCAAGGACCATGAGATAAGCAAATACACAAGAGCCTTTCGTAAACAAACATATTCCCATGGAGACAACTGAATACAATGAGGAGCGGTGGTCTTTTGTGTGAGTCCCTGCGGAATTGTTATAAGCGGTACAAGTTAGGAGCTACAGTTAGTCAGCCAGTGAAGAGAAGAGATGAAGGTTGGTACGAGATGGCCGCCAGATTTGGAGTTACAGTTTGAGGAATGCGTCAGTTGGGGGATATTCGCCAGCCGGTAAGGACGTTACCAGAGGACATTGTTAAGATCCGTTAACAGGAAACGACAAGTGAAGACACAGAAGACTGCAGTTACAATTATCTTTAGAGTGTGTAAAGCAGTAAGGCTGTTATAGTTACTTGTAGATACGAGTTGTGTGTTGTGCTCAATAAATCCAATAATCAATCCAAACCCCGCCTATAGTCACTCATGCACCTGACAACATACGTGGTAAATTTATATTTGTGATTATGGCCTCCTTAACTGAGCGGTCCATAGAGTCTGTCATTTTTGCCAGCATGTGGCGGGAACTACGCGATCAGTTGAGATCTGGCTGCACCCCGCTAACTTCAGAGTAAAAGAAATGGGGGATTCCCTCTACGCCTTTCACGGTACCCGGCCACGAACATTATAAGACAAACGAGACAAAATGAATGAAAACATCGTAACGAAGGACCAACGAGAAGCGACATGAATCCAGACGACTGGTCCCCACGCGGTCAGTACTGACCATCTGCTTCCGTCAAGCACTGCCCAAGTATTCGTAGTACGGGGCTTGGACGGACGACAGCTCTGTGTATACAGGACACTCGTCACATCAGCCACTGATGGAGACCAAGACAGTTTGTGAACGTCGGACTCCAACTTCACATTAAAATGGCTAATTAACTTTGATGACTTCAGTGCCTAGATTTGTTTATTTATTTATGTAACTGCACTGTCAGTGGTTCAAATAGTTTAAAATGGTAGAAAATCAGTGAATAATGAATTTAAGGACGATGTGGGAGTCAGCAGCCATAGTCAAGTTTGTGGTACTAACCAGGCACTTTACAGGCAGGGTTTAAGGAAAATTAAGAGAAACTTCAGACAGGATAGAATGCACTCGGGCCAAGGTTTGAACTAAGGACTTCCTAAATATATAGTGCAATACAAACAACTGTGACGTCTCGTGCTCAGGCATGGATGGAAGGATAATATTAAGGCAGATCTCAAAGAAATAGTGTAATGATTTGACTGGACTCACCTGGCTTACGACAGGGCATAGTTCTGAGCCATTTTGAGCACAAATGGTGGGGAACTGAACGACTAGTTGTGTGGTTATCAGTCCTCACGAAGGGCTGTACGCGCTGTAGTTCCCTGTAATGCAGGCTTACCGGCATTTCGCCTTAAGAATTGCAGTACTTCGCTACTTTCAGCCGAGTCCCATAAAGCCCCAGTCTTATCAGTTCCTGCTAGATCGGCAGTTAACGCAGCCACCGTACGGGATCATCGAACCTTGGTAAAATTTAATTGGGTAGCAGAGAAACGTAGGTAATTGCTTTGGAGAGTGCCTACTTTCAGGCGCGATGTTATATGTGTGATTCGGGGAGGGGCTTCTCTCGCTGCTTCGCCAAGAATCTACATAATGTTCCGTATCATAAAAGTGTTATGAAGATAAAATTGGACTACCTGCGTTCAACGGAACATTACTCCTTGTTCAACACGTTTTCTTACCATAATCACAACTCTGCTACTGTCAGACATATCCAGGAAGTGTCTAAAGGCGTGACATTTCAGAGTTCTCACAGCAATGACTATGAACATTACTGTCTTCCAGGATCCGAGGTCCTGTTGTATGGTGCAAATACCAAACTAAACGGCATCACATCCCAGAAGACAATCTATAGCTGGCACATGAAGCGGAAATACAGAACACTGTCTGCATGGAAGCATAACCAGGATATTTCGTAAGGGGAGATAATAAAATTAAACGCCATTTGATAACACAAATTTACAAAGAAATTCTCATTCTAAAATATGTAATATATTGATTATTGTTAAGATACCATACGTTGTAAATTTGTTTAACTCCTGGTCATTATCATTGGGTCTGTTTATGCCAAAGGCACAATCTCATAGTTTCTTTTATTTTTATAAAAAAATGCCAGCTCCCTTCCCACACAGCCCCCAATCTGGAGGACCATAAGTCCTGATTTGGGGTTACTTTCCCCTTACAGAAGCTCCCTTCCTCATGGCTTAAGAATCTTTTCTGCCTGTTGTGGGTTATTTTTCGTTTCAACTTTCTCCTCTGACCAGCAGGAAAGCAAAAACTTCCTCAGCATGGTCAACTGAATCATTAGGACTAAGAGCGTTCTCACCATGACAAGGGGATCGTCAAACAAAATCTATTTTTTCATGCCATCCTATAAATGTCAGGATATTTTTATTGCTAGTGGGGTGGGACTAAGTCCCTTGTACTGCGGCCACTTCTAGCCTATTGTACCAGCCCCAGATGATAGGTGAGGGTGATTATGGAGCAATTGGTGGAATGAAGATTGGCAGAGGAAACCGCAGTAATCCGAGAAAAGCTACCCCAGCGCCACTTTGTCCACCACAAATCCCACTAGATCAGACACGGGATCGAACCCGGGCCGCCGCGGTGGGAAGCCAGAGACTAACCGCTTGAGCTATGGCGCGGCCCCAATGTCAGGATTAGATGGAACCAGTACTCAACCAGGTAAGGTTGAACTGGTCTCTCTGTTCTTGTTGATGAACGTAACTACATATAGAATATAGCAGAGTCCGTATTGACAGGCTGACAGTCGATTAACTAGTCAAAAATTACAGTTCGTTTTAGAACTGGAAGGTTATTTCGTGTGTTCTGAGCCTGCAATTGGGCTCAGTCCTGGAGCAAGATCGAGTTTTAATATTATCTTCCCATCTATGTTTCGGTCTTCCTCTCAGTTTCTTTCCACCTGGTTTTCATATCGTATACCCTGATTTCACTCCTCTTCCACGAGTGAGACGTGCCCTGTCCATCTCATCCCCTTCATGTCATTATTCTAATAATATCAATACAAGGTGCAATTATGAATCTCCTCATTATGTAACCTGCACCATCCTCCTCTTATTCCTCTCTCAGATCTAAATATTCTCTGTACTGAGCTTCGCAGGGAAGGGTGCTTGTGAATGAGTGCAACTTTGCCATCTTTTTTTTTTTTTCATTGGCACTACAGCCCCAGTGGGCCTAGGCCTACCTCCATGAAACTCTCCGTTTCACTTCGGTTTTACTAGACATTAGACATATGGTAGGACTCCTTGGGCGGCTGATCAGCTCGTCGCAAGGCCTCTACCTGTACATAAACACAGAAAAACCAACACAAACATCCATGCCCTGGGTGTGATTCGAACCCACGATCCCGGCTTCCGAGTGAGCGAAGACAGTGCATGCCTTAGATCGCTCGGCTACCGTGACCGGCACTTTGCCATCTAGGAGTACCAATAATAATAGTTAATGCTAATTAATCACAAATTAAAATACGCAAACTAGAAATGTGCATAAACACTAAATGAATGTCTAGTCTAGGAGAATGAATCGGAAAGCAAAGACAGAAAAAGAGTATCTGTATCGGTTTCGCATATCCAGATGTAATGGATACATGTGAGGCACTTAAATGGATAGCAGAGTTGATTAAATGATGGAAGCAAGAAATACAATAAGGAGAAAGTACAAGAAGGAAAGGGTGGAAGAAATGAAGGAACGAGAGGAAACAGAACAAAATAATAAATAGGCTAAAGATGCAATAAAATAAGGGCAATCAGTTGTTTAAGAATGTTCAAACGAAATACTCACTGCGATCTCTCACGATGAAATAGTGGATGTTGTGGTCCGTGTCGGGGTCCCGCGCCTGCAGGGTGAACACAGGGGTGTTTGGGGGTGCGTTCAGCTGCACGACGGCTTGCATAGGTAGCGGGCGGTTGATGAAGTATGGGGGCTCGTCGTTCACATCCTTGACGTGAATGATGACGCGCTGATTGTCCGTATCTGGAAAGAGAAGCGCACAGCGTCGCGTAAACGCGCAGAAATACTGAACTGCGGGGGCGATACCCGCAGCATGGCGACGAGAGCTGCGTACCGAATTCTGGGAGAGAAGAACAGCAAGCAACCTGGGAGGACACTCTGAAGAGAACATGTAGCACGCAGTGGGGTGACGGGGTATGAATATAAAATTCTGAGCGCAGAACCTGAAATGAAGAGAGTGAAGAGCGGAACTGAGAGGATGTGGGAGAAACTGATCGTGGCCTACTTTCGGTACCGTCCGGCATTTTTAGGGAGGGAATGATGAAACACGAAAAAATTTGATCAGAACAGCTGGTGTCCCGACCAAGTTTTAAACCTAGCACTTCCGAAATGTCCTTACAAGGTCACGAACCTGAGTGCCGAATTCAGCTCATTGTCATGCTTCCATCTCCTGCTTTTAGCTTCCCTCCTCTCTACTCTTGCGTGCGCCAGTGGCCACCATAAGGCAGCGGGATTGTATTCAGAGCCTACCATGGGCACGTGGTAGCGTAGTTGGTTGAGGCACTATGCTACAGACCGGAAGGTCGCAGTTTCGAGTCCCGATGAGGTCACTGATTTTTTTTTCAATTGGCCTAATCTTTCCAGCAGCAGTATGGTCCTGAGGTCGACTCAATCGCTAACATAAATGAGTACCACGAATCTTCCTGGAGTTAAAGAACTGCCGGCGCGTAAGGCTGACAACCTCACCGCCCTCTGTGAGCCGATTGCCTAGATAATGTGGGACCCTCGATGTCTCACAACTCTATGGGCCCCCATGGCCTCTTACAGGGATAGCTTTACTTTTTGCCATTTCAGAACTTGCATGATATCAATAGTCACGATTTCTGAACCGATACTTCTCGTTCTCTGTAGTGAAGGTCCATGTTGTCGAATCCTTGTGATGCAGTCAGTATAGCCACAAGTATCGGTTACGTCATTAACGCAACACAGGAAACTGCAATGTTATACATCCTAATTAGAGCGAAATGCGATCCTTGAAATTGGTGCACTTGGTGTCATCATAACCGGTTATTGTGTACGGACTCCACTGTGACTTCCTGGATGCACAGCCATCCTCGTGTGACCTTTCCCGTATACATGTGATGCATGATCAAATGACGGCCAGTATAGAAACAGGAAGCGGCAAGGAGCCTGAATTATAAAGTTCAGGGGCACTGGGTTATGTAGGTAACAGAAGAGCAGCCTCGCGGTGTTCAGAGGAGACCGAAGCATGCTGAATCTACGGGGGGGGGGGGAGAAATGCATATAGCATTTCTGGAAGTTTATTAAAATCGGAACGGAAAAGACAACTTACAAGACTCAGACATAGGTAGAAATATAACTTTAAGAAGGATTTAAAAAAAATAGGATGTGGGCTCATTTGATTCACGACATGGCCCAATTGAAATTTCTTGTGAGCATGGTAATGAACCGTTGGGTCATATAAAAAGGGGTGAATTTCTTGGCCAGATGAGCGACTGCCAGATTCTGAAGAAAGACCCTTCCTCATGGCGCTACTTAAACAGAAGGAGTAGGCTTCAGGACTCATTCCCCGTCGAAGATAACGTCTTTGAATTGCAGCGAAAATTCTTTGCATTAATACTGTTCTGGCTTCCAATTTCCTTCAGTACGTTTTTTTTATTGCTAGTGAGGTGGGACTAAGTCCCTTGTACTGCGGCCACTTCTGGCCTATTGTACCAGCCCCAGATGATAGGTGAGGGTGATTGTGTAGCAATTGGTGGAATGAAGATTGGCAGGAGAAACCGAAGTACTCGGAGAAAACCTGCCCCAGCGCCACTTTGTCCACCACAAATCCCACTTGACCAGACCCGGGATCGAACCCAGGCCGCCGCGGTGGGAAGCCAGCGACTAACCGCTTGAGCTATGGCGCGGCCTCCTTCAGTACTTTCTCAACAGCGACAGGGAATGCAGTTCATCAGTTTTTGACCTTTCAATCAGCAATCAGACAAATCAGTCTACAAAACTAGCCACTAAAACAGTCATTTTACATGCATTCTTTTTTTTAATGGCTCTTCCAGCCCATTCAGGGCCCAGGCCTCGTATTCAGTTCCGTAATCATTTTTACACAGACGGTAGGACTCCTTGGACGAGTGATCAGCCCGTTGCAAGGCCGTTACCTAAATACAGGACAACACAAACACAGAATAAAAGTATAAACACATCAAACATCCATGCCATGAGTGGGACTGGAACCCATGATCCCAGCGTCCGAGCGAGCGAAGACAGTTCACCCATGATATATACACAGTGTCCGTCTTGCAGTGCACCCACTTTCACCTGTCACTTCACAACATGTTTCGGCACCATAGTGCCATCATCAGGTGCTACATGCATTGCATGCCATTATGTCAATGTAAAATTATTTTAAAAGTATTTTAAAATATTCGTCACTTATAATAAATTTTTTGTATACTAAAATCTTGTTAAGATATTCATCTTATCTTTCCCAATTCAAAACCCGCGCATGGTTCCTCCACTATGGGAGTCGTTCCTCTTATATGGCGTGTGTATCGTGTCTCGTGATGCGTGTTCCCTTTTTGGCTGCGGGTGTTGTAATATTTTAAAATACTTTTTAAATAATTTTACATTGACATAATGGCATGTAATGCAATAGATTACTGTAAATGGAGCACCTGATGATGGCACTATGGTGCCGAAACATGTTGTGAAGTGACAAGTAAAAATGGATGCACTGCAAGACGGACACTGTATATATATCATGGACGAAAATTAGTGCAAGAGGACGCTAAAATACAACATGAAGACAGTTCATGCCTTAGACCGTGCGGCTACTTTGACCCGCCAGTTTACAAACCTAGCCACTACAAACAGTCTTTGTACAAGTATTCAGCTTTTATAACAATCTGTCTGAAACTTTAAAATCAAATTAGCTTCACTCCCTTGACCTTATCCGTAATTTTTTATTAAAAGCTTCAAGGGAAGTACAGAAATATATCCCCAAATTGAGGAGGGGAGTTCCACACGACAGGAGAATGTGCCTCCTTGGAACAGGTACTGACAGCGCCTACTGAACTCTTATAATACATATTTTGTTCGGCAATTTTTTCTTGTTTATTCATACACAAGACCTGTATTTCAGATGTAGTCGGCCGTGTATGTGGTTAGGCCTGCTAAGGTGGTTACATGTTTAAGAAACACATTACAAATTGTGTAAGATTTGAGGCTTTCACGGCGGTGACTATGAAGAAAGCAGTCTTCTGGGATTTGGCACCGTGTATAAGTGGTGTTAACCGACGTTTCGGAGGAACGTATCGCCTCCATCTTCAGGGTAGAAGAAAAAGTATAAGAAATCTGCAAGCGACAAGACCGTGAGAACGGTAAAAGCAGAAGATGGAGGCGATACGTTCCTCCGAAACGTCGGTTAACACCACTTATACACGGTGCCAAATCCCAGAAGACTGCTTTCTTCACATTACAAATCCATCTCCTTCGATGTTCCGCCCTTGTATGGTCCACGACGCTTTTAATTTGCTGAGGATATCAGGAGGGTACGTGAATTAACTACCTCGGCCGAAGTATACCAAGACACATTCCGAAAAGAAACTCATATATATGCAAACTCCTGGCATAATTTGGAATCACAGTTCACTAACAATAAAGTGGTAGATTTGTGTCAAACTAAGCACCATGCAACACTTACACACATCCACTTCTACTGTACTTACAGCGCACTCCCACTGCAGGCAGATGCATGAAAGAGAAGGAAAAGCAATACATTAGTAGGTTCTCAGCACACACATGTTCCTTTGTCAGCGACCCTAAAAGTTCTCGAATAATAACTTAAAATAGTCCTGTGTCATATCGAAAGTTATGTTTGAATTTCTCATCAGCGCATGAACACCGTAGATCATAGAAAATGTATCCTAAGTAATTTATGATGATGTGGCATTCTACGTCAATGCATTCCTCTTCATTCGCAGGGCGAATATTCTGCGTCTAATGAACTGCGAACAGAAAATCTCTTTAACATTTTCTTACAGTCAGAGACTTAGAATTTCTCATAGCAGTGAATATCAATAACAATATCTTATGCAATGTGACACCACGCAGTCTGGCAGGAGTTTACTGACGTTTCAGAAGCCCGCGTTGCTTCCTTCATCAGGACTGAATAGTAAGGCGAGCGAGCGAGCAAGCAACAAACAGATTGATGACTCCTAACTGATACTTGCTTGCCTTACTCTTCAACCTTGCATATGGCAACAGTATGTCCTTCCGAAACGTAGGTAAACGCCTGCCAGATTGTACAGCATCACATTCCAGACGAAAGCAGCAATTCCTTTTCATACAGAGCCGGGATAGCGACTGGCTACGGGCTGGACGACCGAGGGGTCGGAGTTCGAGTCCCCGTAGGGACAAGAATTTTCACTTCTCCAATCGTCCAAACAGGCTCTGGGGTACACCCAACCTCCTATACAATGTGTACCGGGGGCTCTTTCCCAGGGGTAAAGCGGCAAGGGCGTGAAGCTAACCAATCACCTAAAACTAGTGCCGAGGTCAAGAGAATGTGGATCTATACAGTCACTCCCCCATACGCCTTCATAGTAAGTGCTTAATTAGTTAAACACAGGGACAACTTTGCCTTTTTAGCCTACAGGTTTCACACTGAAATGCGACGGCAACTTAATCAGATCGATGATGCTGTGCGCCTAAGAGACAAAGAGACCGTGTATTAGAATTATCCATAGTTTATACCTTCCATACTCCAACCAAGGTGTTTTGCATACAATATCAAATTAACAGAAATCTTTGTAAGACAAAGCTTACGAAGTTTAATTCTGGAACAAAACAGGTTCACTCTTACCGCTTAACTTAATAACGTTACTACATCTGCAGCCTACTGATACCTGAGACTTATTAAGATTCATATTAGAGGTCCCGGGCTCGATTCTTGGCAACCTATCCTGATCGTCCGTGGTCTCTCTCAGTCCATCCAGGCGAATGCTGCGTGACCACATCCGTCTGCAGCTTGTCTAGTGAATTACATTCATCCTACCATTCGACGCATGCAATTGTTCACTACAGCGGATCTGACCGGTTAGTACACCTGCTCCTGCTCGCATGTGCCACGGACAGGCTCTCCCGGGTACAAAAGTTGTCGCTGTGCTTAACTAATTAAGCACTACGCCATGAAGGCGTATGGGGGAGTGGATGTATAGATATACATGTTATTGACCTTGGCACTAGCTGGAGGTGAGTGGTCACATTCACGCCCCGGCCGCTTTACCCTCGGTACCCACTGGATAGGAGCCACTGGGAGGAAAGAGCCGGTCTGGACGATATGGAGAAGTGAAAAATTCTTGACCCGACGGTGACACTGTTATGCCCCAAATTTGAGATAGTAGAAGAAGCCACGGCCCAAAAATGTTCGCGCCTAGCGAACAGTGTTTCACAGTTATTGCCGCAACTTGTAAACATCAGTAATGGCAAGTAGGTTAGGAATCTGCTTGCCCAGCAAGGCTGTGTCCTCACAGCGCCAGAAGTTTGCCTCACTCGGGCACTGGAGAATCGGAAGAGATTGCTGACGCAGCGATCAGACGCAAGGGGTCTGCCCACATCCCGATAAGACCCAATGAAAACCTAACTTTAGGAAATTAGAACACAAGGGAGGAGCTATCTACCCCCTTGTCGTCCACGCTGAATCAGCGAATTAAAACTATAAATGAGGGAAATTCAAGAGACTTGGAATTCTGATTTTAAACAGAATAGAGAGTTGTCAGCCG